TGTTGGACATGCAGCCATACCCTTGCTCTCTTGGCTCCTTTAGCCTCGATGTCTACGGATATCTTTGTGAAGAACTTCATGCGGTTCTCGGATTCATCGTGAACCCGGTTTCTTTTCGGCTTGACATGCTTACCATTCGTCCTTTGTAAACTCCTTGCTTCTGAGCGAGTTTTAGGAGCCCTACAGGTATTACCGTATGACTTAACCTGTGTATATGAGAGCTTTGACGTTCAAACCGAGCGTTTCGGTCGCAGTAGCGGAAACGTCGCAACAGCATGCCTCGCCATAAGTATTTGTAATGGTGGTTGGACGTCTCCGGACTCCGCGACACCATTTCAGGTGCACAGAGAAGGATGAGCGGTCCGGTCGTCGTTCGCTCTTTGCTCGAAAACCTTCCTGGCTGTGCGAAGTCTTCCCTTGGATTACATCTAACGGTTCACTCTATTGTGGGTCGCTCGCTCCTGATAAGAATGGTCCTTTACTCCATAATGCAAGCGGACTTTGTGCACTCTTCCGATGCTGCGGTCTCGTCGCGCGGTGCCGTATCTGTGTCTTCTGCTGTTCGAGACCTTCCGTGCTGCATGGGATCACGCATCGTTCTAATCCTAACGCCACCTTGCGTACTTCTCCGAAAATATGGTCTTCAAGTGCGTCCATAGCTGCGATCATGTGATATGGGTCCGTCCAGTGCGCGAGACACTCGCAGAGTTTGCTTCCCATTTAGAAGTCTAGACACTATCGTGGTGCCAATAGATTAGCGATGATCTGCAGCAGAAGTCGAAGGTTGATTCTCCTTCGTGCTTTCTCGAGATCTTATATTCGGATTCTACCTTGAGTCTTCGTATGCAGTGTTCTTTGCCTTCCGTGAATCCTCCACCATTTCGTTGAACAGAAGATAAAGAACTTCTCCGGGCAGGTTTCTGATGTGAGCTTGAGAAGCAGAAGTGATTGAGGAGGATATTCATTCTATAATCATCACTACATACTGCAGAGGGGCACTCCACATCTAATGAGTTTTTTACTGCTTTAAGCGATTGTGCTTTGAAGTCTTCTTTGAAAGTCATTACGAGCGAGTCCTTGCCATCCGGATGCTGCGGCGACAGTGTCTCCATCTCTCTAACTGATTACTGCGCGATGAATCATATGACTCACCTGGCGGCAATGGCAGTGGACTGATAATATCTGGTGGATTTCTCGCTCGAGATCACGTGGCGGCTCGAGGTATGCTCATCTGTTCGTCTGGCTATGCTGCGAGTCTGAAAAAAGGCGCATGCTGAAGCAGAGATCGCAGGTGTCGGCAAGGTTTATATGATGGCTTACCTTTAGAAATTGCGCTCTTCCACCTTCTGCTGCGATGGGGCGCATTGAGCTTCGTGCAGCGAAAGTAGCTGAGATTTGAGCTATTGATTTCCTCTATCTTTTAGCTCAAACCAGGCGCTCTGCATGCGCGCCGATGCCCGATCAATATAGGCATAGATGACTACCAATGTCGACTATGTTTTAACTGACAGCGAGGGGTAAGCAATATAAAGTAACAAAAAAACTCTGTATATGGCGAAACAGAGTTAGGAAATACGGAGACCCAAATTAGTATGACAAACAGTCGTAGCTTTTGTAAACCTAAACGGCGATGTCGGACGCATCGGAACACCTTCAAGGCAAGTTTAGGTGAGCATTATACTGGCGTTACAACCTTTTCTGTCAATGGAATATTCTATTATGAAGGAATTTCTAAAAAAAATTACTCCCTATTCCCGACAATGGTGTCAACAGCAATTTTCTCGAAATTATTACATTTCGGACCAATGGCGGCATTTGGTGATCAAGAACTTGTTCTATCAGAGCATATCCTATTTTCCGGCTCATACTATGGACGGATTCCAGGCAGGGCACGCCATTGCGTTGTGATCATTTCCTGAA